AAATATAAAACTAAGTGGGAGTGGTTCAAATTGCTACATTAAAGCTCTTCGCTTTCAAAGATGCAATGACTTTAGGTATCTTACCATCAGATATCAATGGTTGTCTTCTAACATTATCAACAAGTCAACCGGCAAGTCAAAACTTCTCAAGCAACCGTGTAACTGTTGTTCCCCATTTCAAAAAAGAACAAAGCTCCAAAAAAAAAAACATAATGGGAGAAGTAATAATATATAACAAACCACTGTATTCATTTATTAATTTACACTACAACATGAACTGTAATAATTTCACCAAAACCCCACAAAAAATGAAGAAAAAGGAGAGGTAAAAAAAATAAATACAAAGATTATTCCATGTCTGAAAATCTCCCAAACACCGTTTATATATAAATATATATATATGTCTGTATATATATGTAGATATATATAGATATATATAGATATATAGATCTGAAAAATGGAAGGTTTTTCAGTGACCAACGCCAGGGCTTGGAACATCACCATACATTCGGTAAGGATCATTGTCCTTTGTTTCATCTTCCAAAGCTCCCCCTTCCATGTCTTCATCATGTTCTTGAGCTCTTGTGACAGCCACGCCATAGCACGGTGGGCGGCAGGCAGCGTTGCAAACTCGAGCAGCGAGGACGAAGACGGTGAGGGCAAGAAGAACGGCTCTGATCCTGATGATGTTGGGATGAGCCATGTTGGAGGTTTTGGGTATGGAAGAGGAGAGAAGAGGGTTTGCTTTTGTTCCTTTTGGAGATGAAAATGGGGGATGGTAAAGTGGTTTTATAGAGGATCATGATGAGGAGCAAGGATGAAGATGGTGTATTTATTAGGATCTTCAAGTGGGTCATTCATTCCATTCATTGTGCTTCCTAAACTTAATTTAATTATATAAATACCTTTAGTTCGTTTTCCCTAATTTATATAAAAAAGTGAAATAGGTAGGGCAGCTCGACTGGGAATGCAATCTCGTCTCTGTCTCCATTTAGCTTAGATTGAGAAATTCTCTTTTAAAATTGAGATTTCACGTCTCCCTGTAAGTTAAATGAACATCTCTCTATACAATATTATAGAACACATTTTTCATTCTCGATTATCATTTCATTCTCTCTCCTCTTTCTTTCACTCATTAGCTTTAGAAAACAGAGGAACACTAATGGTGAAGGTAATGATAGAGTTTGACCACATTTTGCTTCTCTTTGTCTTATTACTTTATTGGATTTAAAGCTTCTGTTTGAATACACATTGGTTGGAAAAGAGGACGAAATATTTCTTATAAGAGTGTGGAATCTTTTCTCTAATAGACACGTTTTAAAATCGTGAGGCTGAAAGCGATACGTAACGGGCTAAAGCGGACAATATCTACTAGGGATGAGCTTAAAATCATGAGGCTAACGACAACACGAACTCGTATGATAGCAACTTACCATGTTACATGTTACGATGTCGTATGATTTCATCAAATTTAAACCACGCAACCAACCTTCCTTTTCTTTTCCCACTTTTGCCTTCTTTCGTTCTCCTTTTTTTCTAAATGTTTTCTTTTTCTTTTTGGTGGGGAAAGGGAGAAGGTTATGATGATTAGGGTTTATAAGAACAAACAAATGAGATTCATTCTTATTTTTCTTTATTTGCATGTCTTTTCTTTCGGCCACGCCAAAAAGTAAACCATCGTCCATTGGGTATCATCTAATATACTCGAATTTTGAATGGTTCAAATCATTGCTTTTTTCTATCCCGTTCTTCCAAAATATCTATTCAAATTCCGGTTTATATAATTTAGTTTCGAGTTATTATCATCAACTTCTTGCACCGTTCAATAGTCAAAACTAACCACCTACGTAAAACTCTCTTCTTTGTTCATATCTTCACCCTATTACGAAGCACGAGCAATTGTTACACTCTACAACCTTCTATTTTCTCTACCGAAGGACTCTTGATCATTCCATCACTGTGAATGTCCAACGAGTACAATTACGATGTGTTAGTTCTTAAGACAATGGACACATCGTAAAGTTGTTACTATTAGATTAAGCTAAAGCAAGATGGTTAGCTCAATCCAAACGCTCTTATTTATTTATTTATTTATAATTAAAAGGTAAAGTTATGAATGGAATTATGATACATGGATGACGTGATTATGCATGCAACAAGGACAGGGACATTTTGGAGTTTTTAATGAAGTCTGTTAAAGATTTGGAGGATTGGAGATGACGGTGCATGTTAATCAGCCACTATAAAGTTATTATATTTATCCCAAACCAAATCATTTCAATCCACGTGGATACTTATTTATTGGCTGTCTAATTTCTAATAATTAAAGCAAAGAAAATAATATTTCACTATTTGCCTGCCGCCTTAACGACCTCTATTAAATGTCATTTTTAACCTCATCAAACTTTACCTTAAATATCATAATTAATATTTTTGTAAACGATGAATTAATTAATTGAATTTATTTAAAATAAAATAAATTAAGATAGAGAATGTTATCATAATTTCAAATAATATATTTTTATTTCTCATAATTACTTGTAAGAATTTTACTGTATTAATTAACCTCATAATAGTTTATTTTTATTAAGCAAAATTATTAATAACCAATTAAATTTTAATTTAATTTGCAAGGCATATTAAAATAATAAGTATAAACAATATTAATAATTTTTTAATAAAATCGTACAAATTTTTATTTATAAATAATTAGTACGGTAATTCGAATTAAAATTTTAATTATACTTGTTTGAAAAAATAAATATAATTTATTTATTTTACTCATTTTTAACACGTCTCCTTACGTGGTAGGTTGATACAATTGATATATACCTTAATCTACATAGATCGACATCATTTCTTCTTTAACTCCATTCTCTTGATTACCATATATGTTCTGCCTATTGTTATAATATAGGTGTATTCTCTGACAATAGACAGTCAAGAAGTCGGGCTAGCACATCGAGGAGGAATTTCCTTACCTGTTTGGTTGGATTTTGAATTCTCGATCTTTAATTTCTTGTCATTGTATTTACGGTACTTAGGTGAACTAAAAAATCAATCGTGTGATGGCACTACATCACTATATTAATTTTTTTTTTCTTTCGAGTTAAAGAGCTTTATGACATAGAAAAAAAAATATTATAAAATATCGAGACAAGAATAAAGTTTTAGTCTTTAGAGAGAAATGCACGAAAGGTTACGAACACGACATGGATCGATCAAGAATTGAGAATATGTTCATGGAATAAAGAAAAGATTATTAGAAAAGAAAAAAATAAAACAAAAACAAAAAGAGAGAGATTAAAAAATAGAAATATGTCTTAAAACGGACAAAAAAAGGAATAATAAAAATAATATCTTTAAACTTTGAAATCGGGTTACCCTATTTTTAAAAAATTAAATATTTCTTTTAATTAGTTTTCTTTCTCAAAACATTTTTCTACAAAATTAATTTGGAATGTAAATTAGAAAAGAAAAAGTGTATATATATATTTAAATCTAAATTAATAAAATTACTTCTAAACTCTCCATTTTATCTAAAATAAAATACTTTAAATAAAGTTTCATAATACCCTTACTTTTTAAAAAATATATATATTTTAAATTAATAAAATGGTTCAAAATACAGTGAGTTAAACTATCAATATTTTATTTAAAAAATATTTATAAATTTTCAAAGGATTTCAAAAATCCTCTTTTAAGTCTTTCTGACTTCAAACTTTTTTTTTAGAAACTAAAACACTCATAAAATTTTTTAAAAATTTCAAAAACATTTTTTGTTTTTTTTTTTTTTGTTTGTTTAAAAGTACTCTTACCTTAAATATTCCATTTCAAAAATAATTTTTAAACTTTTAAATATAATATTAACAAGAGAGATAATCTATGAGGTGTCGTTCCGTTCATATATTGACGGTAAGAATTTTTTGAATTTTTTTTTTTATTTTTTATGAAAGTTGAGAGTGTTAATGTTAATTTTAAAATTTTGTGAGTATTTTTTAAAAATAATATTAAAAATAAAGGTATTTTTTAATTTAAAAAAAGAATGAAGAGTACCCATAAAAAAATTAATTTAAAAATATTTTTGAAATTCATACAAAATTAAGAGTAAGAATATCATATATATTTTTTAAAGTTTAAGAATAATATTCAAACTTTTCCAAATTTAAATATTTTAATGAAGTTGGGGATATTTTTATTAATTTTGTGAAAATGTAATAACAAATTGGGTTATTTAAGGATTATTCCCTAAAAGAATCTCTCAAGAATTATCTCAAAAAAATAAATTGATGGGACAAAAATGAAAATTGTGAAAATGTAATAACAAATTGTCAGAAGTTGATCAGGAAGAATAATTTCGATCACGATCAAAACATGACTAATAAAATATAGTGAACTTTTTTTCATTAAAAAGAAATTTATATAAAATTATGAGACAAAAATGAAAATTATACTCTTTAAATTAATAATTATATCCATTAAAATTCTCGATCAATTTAGTCTTGTCATCGAGTCATTGCTTTCGTAAGTGTATAAAAAGAATTTAAAGGCAAGAATTACAGTTAATTAAGAATAAATGTTGGAATCAAATAAATAACTCTTGAAATCGGGGTTATAAATCAATTTTAGCCATAAAATTAATAGGCATCAAAGTGATTAAAGACGTTAATTTGAGTTCATTCATCTAGTTAAGTTATTATAATCTCAACTAAGAAATCAATCATTTGAAACTTCAATCTAAAGATATTTCAAATCTAAAGATAAAAAGACATCCACTCCCCAATCACTTAAACATAAGTCTTCATCCGAGAACGCCACTTGCTACACAAGCATAACTTAATTCCTATTCTTTATTAAAGTCTTACAAACTCATAAAATGGAAATTCTTCACAGTTTTCGACGAGCCAACGGAATAAGAAAACCCTAACTATTTCTCAATCAATCGACACCGACATAAGAAAGTTATAAGGGAAAGGGGTAAAAGTTTGGACAATTAGATATCTTAAACTTTAGGGGACATGAAAATATATAAAAACTTTGACACATATCCAAACATAACATATTATATGTTTAAGCAAACATAGTACTCCAAGTTCATCCCTCTTTACATGAGTGACCATTATTTATTTATTTATTTATTTATTATTATTATTATTTTTTTTTACATAACCCACAAGCTTAGAGTGAAAGAGGGGAAACAGAGCTCAAATCTATGCGTATAGCATTATCACTGAAGGTAAGATTCAATGCTCTTGGTGAGGCCATTCATGAGATCAATATACTTGTAAGGAGAAGGACAGTCAGCACGTAGTTTCTCATATTTCAGTATCATAACTGCCAGACAATGGTTTGGTCCTTTTGGCACAACTTTATACGTTGCTTTGAAGGATTTGTAATGCTCGAACATATCTCCATCCAATCCAATCAAAAGCATTGCCATATTCTTATCATCGAATTCCACTCGTTCTTTGAAAAACCCAGCCTTACCATCTTAACAAATCACATAAACAAAAAGAGGTCAATTACTTAGGAGCTAGGGGACATTCATGAAAGAAAATGAAAACAAAAACAAAAATGGTAATACTTATACACTCGTTCTTTGAAAAACCCAGCCTTACCATCTTAACAAATCACATAAACAAAAAGAGGTCAATTACTTAGGAGCTAGGGGACATTCATGAAAGCAAATGAAAACAAAAACAAAAATGGTAATACTTATACATACCGATAGAGTAATGCCAGATCTTGACTGAGCCATGGCCATGGCAGTCCCAATCCCCTTCATGAACTTCAACTTTTTGGATGTATTTTGGACAAATCTTGGGAACACGAGAAACTTCGTCTTTCCAGATTTTGTAGTATTTCTCAGCTGCTACGTTTATTTTTACTTCACTCACTAACTTTCCAGCAAGAGCCATGGTTTCAATGCTTTCAAAACTCTCTCACAAGTAGATTGCCTTGCAAAAATACTCAATGCCCTCCCCTATTTATTCATCCTAGTGATAAATTATTTTATTATTTTATTACCTTTTCTATTATTATTATATACACATATAGCATATATTCTTCGTTCTTATGGTGTGGATAGGGACTAACACGTAGTGTTTGCTTTATCATACGCTAATCCAATCAACCCTGCTTAATCACCAATCAACCTAAAAATTTAACCAAATGGGTTATGGTAAATTTCATTATATCAATGTTTTAACACACTGGTCTGATACCATAATCTTGGAAAATGAAGTTAATTTTAGCTCCCTAACAAATGATGTCACTAATGGAGGGAGGGCAACATGTCAGGTTTCGAGCTTGGTAAAATGACTAATTAAGAAACAAATTGGAGAACAGCCAATCTAAACAATAAACTGAAAAGAAAAACAATTAAATTAACTCAATAAACGTGGTTTGGAGTGACTATAACAAAATTCCTACGAATTGCTTATAAAAGCCATAAAAAGATTACCTTACACACGAGCAGGATTTCCCGCTCCAACAGGACGAGGTGCTTGGCCTGGCTGACCTGGCTGACCTGGCTTTGGCTGATCATCCTGAAACAAACAAAAACAGAATAAGGTAACAAAGAATCAGAGGCCACTCCAAGTATGGCTGCTGAATCAAAGTATTAGACAGACAGATGATACATAATCCAATTAAGGAGCTTGACATGTCAAACTGCAATAAGTGTAGGGGAACCATTTGACCAAGTTGTCAAAATATAATGATTTACGGATTCATTTGATAACAAGCATGCGAACACGAAGTACCAAATGCAAAAGTCTCCGAAGTCTCCATATTAATTAATCTTTTAAAAATTGTGGCTGGATCCTATGAAGAGTTTCACATATCCATCAATGATAATAGAGAAGCAACGACAACATTATGATGCACATACTCTTTTGGCTGCCCACCGTAAAAGTTTGAGCACATCAAATAGTAAGAGTAAATAAAGATGAACAAACTTCATCAAGTGCACTGTGAACATCATGACTTCATGATGACTCAAAGCTATAAATATTTTATGCCAAGATCAACTCATTATAAATCAAAGTTAATAAATATTTTATGCAAAGACTAACCCTGCGTCTGAGGAAGCGCTGTGGTGGTTGCCGATTCCTTCTGTCAGTACGAGATCGAACTCTCACAACATGTGAGTGAGTAGCACAGGAAACACAGTATTGCATCTTGGCATAAAGCTTTGGGAGAGTGTATTCTGTACAGAAAACAAAAAACTATATTAGACACTGAATAAAGAAATCGTTGATACATTTAGTAAACAAAACGATAGTATGAATGGACAGAATAACTTACGATCATAGACACAGGCTTCTTGGACATCCCTCACAGCAGCCTGCTCAACAATATTCCTCACAAGAAATCTCTTAATCGCCTTGTCCTATTCTCATCAATCAAAACTCATGAAGTTAGATTTAATCATCTTCTCACCTCTTTGCTAAAGTATAATTGAATTGCTGTGGTTCAATAGTCAATGAACACTCGAAAGTCACTTTGTCCCGAACTACAATGTGTTCGAAGCTTAGATAGTCAAATACTAAGTGGTAGAATTGCCACAACTTATTTATTAGCATTAAATACATATTTGAACCTTTATTATTTTTGAAAATTTGGGGCTAACTATAATACGATTCTTCTAATCTTTTTATGAATTGTAAAGACTTTAAGCCTTAGTGCCCTTTCAGAGAAGCTCAAGCGTCCAATATAGGGGGTACAAACCTCTTATGGTCCAAAGAAGCCATAAGTTTCGAAAAGTTAGAATCTTGCCTCCAGGCAAGCCTCCGACCGGTAAGCCATAAGCACTGATTTTCAGTTTAAGAAAACTTACAGGAATTGCAACTTCAACGAAACATTTTCCCCACATTCTGGAAAAAAAGAAATTGCTACTTTAGTGTTTCATCGAAAAGAATTTTAAAATCTAGCTCTTTAACTTATAAAAAAAAAAAAAAAAAACGCAAACAATCTCTTAACAACAATAAGAATAGAAAAGCTCATAGACATACTAACATTCTACATAAAAAATCATATCCCCTGAACGTGGGGGACACTTGTACTTTGGCTCGCTCGCAATTGATAGATCAACTAAATAATAAATACACCAGCATTGCACTCAAGCACAAAATCAAAAACTAATTAAACACAAAAGGACCAAATTTCGCCGGAAACATTTGCGCGCCATAGAGATTTGACTCCCGCCATAACACTATCTATATATTCATGCAAGAACTGCGGAGAAAGATGAGTACAAGAATAACCTTGGGGCAGCACTTGCCGCAGTTGGAGCAGCGGATGAACTTAACGTGTCCACGACCGTGCTTGTTACGTCCGCCGTTCCTGCGCTTGAAAGTCTGGAAGAACCAGTGGTAAAAAGATGAATGGAGAACGATTTACAACAAAAATATCCAGAGAAAATAGCAATGGACGAATGATCTTACCATTGTTTCAAAGCTTTAGGTCTTGAGAAGCAGAGAGAGAGAGAGAGAGAAGAAACAGCCGATTAGGGTTTTTGCGGTTAAATGTTGAGCAACGGTTCGGAGCTTTTAACCGGCAAACGCATTATATAAATCGCCAGTCCCGCCGAGCACAACCAACAAAGAGAAAATAAAATTTGCAAAAATACCCTTTAACTTAATGTTTTGTACAATGACCCCTCCAATTTTTCAGTTTTATACATTACTCCCCTTTGTCACGTTTTAAAATTAAATATTTTCTCAATTATATAAAATATTTATGAACTTCATGCATTGAATTCTAAAATTTTTTATCTCCTTAAAACTTTAAATTTGTTTATATAAAATATTCATGTTTAAAATTATTTGGAAGGTTATATCATTTTAGTCCTTGTATTTTTTAATTTTAATAATTTTGGTTTTTATATTTTCGAGTTTTATCTATTTTAGTCCTTTTACTTTTAAACATTAATCATTTTAATTCTAAAATTTGAATAATTAAGTTTATTTTATAAGATAAATTCTATTAACTTGAATAAAAATAAATATTTCAAAAGATTTATGGACTCAAACAATTATTATTTAAAAGTATAAAATAAAACGACACGCCTTTAAAAATTAATATTTTTTATATTAAAAGAAAAACTCTTATGATCATAGCATTAATGTACAAATATTTAAAGCCATGTTATTTTGACAATGATAGAAAAATAATGAAAATAAATGAAATTGACAATTTACCAACTAAAAATGCATTTTAAAAGACGATAAAATAATATTATTTATATAATAATATCATTATATATCATATATATATATATTTTATATATATATATATATATGAGTGTAAAAGGCCAGCGGGTGCCTGATTATAACACCACAGCAATAGAGGTGCCATTACAAGGCAATAATTTCATACAGCATACCCCCTTCTCTATCCCTACCGCCATCACCGCCGCCGCCACCGCCGGACACTCACCGGAGACTTCTTTAATAAATAAAAAAAACACCGCACACACTCGAACAAAAAAAAAAAAAACAGGAAATTTAAAGGTTCTTCCTTTTTTTCGAAAAAAACTTGAAAAGGAAAAGTTTGTGTGTTGTAATGTTTAGAATTGGGGGCCTTCGAAGGTTTGGCCAAACTGCCAATTGGAAGGGACCAGATTGTTGGCTGTGAGAGTGCGGCCATCGCTGAGAGTGACTTGAAAGGAGAGCCCTTGCCCATTCAAATAGTTGTTGCTCTGCCAGTTTTGGCCCCAATTTCGTGACATCGCTTGCCATCCCGTTCGAGACCCCTTTATGGACACCGAGTGGACGTCCCCCGCACCGCCCACGTTGGTGATCAGGACAAGGTTAAAGTAGGAATGACCGTTAATTGTGAACCTCACTCCCCCTTTCTTCATGCACGACACTCTGTACCAGGGCCCACATCAAAACATGTCAGTAAAAAATAATGCAAAGTTTGGACAAATATCATATTACCGTGGAAATCTGTAATTTCTAATATAATTTACCTTCGGAAGGAGACGGGAACAATTCCAGCGCGGTACTGAGCTATCTGGAGGAAGGCGGGCTCGGCCATGTCAAAGTGCTGGAGGGGAGGGTTGCACCAGCCGCCGTTGTTATTGGGGAGGGCGAAATTGGGGGGGCAGAAGTTGGTGGCAGTGACCTTGATGGTGCCGGGCAGGCACCATTTTGGGTCATTTGTGCAAGTCATTTCGTAGCATGCGCCACAGCTAAGGCCGTTGTTGAATAGCGCTGTGCTCAGCGCCACAGTGTTGGTGCCGTACCCTTGGCTGTACAAGTTGCCATACCCACAAGCTCCGCCCATAGTACCAGAGGCGTCTCCGCCGCCGTAGAAGGTGGCATGGCCGCTCTCCCAGCCGCCGTAGTCGGCGGAGGCGGAGGGAAAAGAGAGGTGGAAGAGGAAGAAAGGAAGGAGAAGAAGAGAGGGAAATGGTGAAGAAGAAGAAGCCATGAGGGTTTGTGGGTATAGAAGAGAAAGAAGGGAAGAAAGGGAGATTTATAGAGAAAGGGGAAACAGGCCATGTGTTTGATATTCAAAAACAAAGAGGCTTGCATTGGAAACAGAAGAGAAAATTCACATAAATTTAGAACAATTTCAAACCCAAAAAATTAGTTTTTTTTTTTTTTAAATTTTGGTTGAAGCCATTTACGAGGGGATCGTAAGAGCACATGCAAATGTTTGGGATAGGGCTATCAAAGCTCTGCTATGAAGCTCAGGCCCCACTCATTACCTCTCTCTCTTCTTAGTTGTAGACGGTGATTGGAGGGAGCAAATACGACCATGATAAAACTACAACACTTTTAGATAATAATTAGTGTTTGTTGATAAACTATGCAATTAGTCTATAGAATCACGACACTTCCCGTAGTAATTAATATTACGTTGATATACTATGAAATTAGCCTACTAGAATTACAACGTTTTTGAATAGTAATTAATATCTTGCTTAATGAATCATACTTAGATCGACAAAAATCTATTCATCCCTAAAATAACTAAGTTTGAGAATTTATATTTTTAAGTTTAATATTTAAATCTCTTACTACTTTGCCATTATGGATATCATAAAAAGCATATTTGAAAGTCAACCAATAAATGGGTCAAAATTCTCAAATCAAATTTAAACATAAAAATCTATGGAAATAATAAATAAATAATTATCATCTTATTAAATTTATCATATATATATCAAGATATATATTTCTGACTGTATTTTAGTGTAATTAAAAACGTATATTTTATTTTTATTTAATACATGGTATTAATCGAGAATAAAAGAAATATGATCTCATTTTTTTAAGTTGATTATCGAGAAAGATAAGAATAAGTTAATACAAAAAATAATTCAAAATTAGTGTAATTAAAGTGATTTTGGTGATTCTTTTGCTAATATTGTAAGATATAAGCCTCCTCACTCTTATTATTCACTCAGTGTTTGCTCTTTGAGAGCCAAATCAATTTGTTAAAGCAAAAGGTTAAAAAGAAATGTAAATGGTACAACCGGGATTGATTTGGGTCACGAAGCGTACCAACAAATTTGATACAGGAAAGCTAATTAGTACATAAATATCAGTATTATTTACACCAGTAATGTGCACGTTCTTTTCTCCGTCACTCAATCAATATTTAATTATGAAAAATTATTTTAAAATATATTTTGTACCATGAAATAACAATAAAATATAATTTAAAGAATATTATAATTTGTTAATATCTTTGCGTAATCTATAAGACTTGACCTTTCCAAACCTAAATTAATGCACCGATAACTCTGACTCACTTCATACCAAGATTAAAATTAATATTTTTTTATAAATAAAAAAAAAACAAGAAAATTAAAAAAATTAATAATAAATAAATAAATAAAGGTCATATGTGTGTCGGTTACCATAAAATAACCGCTGTGATCGTAGATAATAAATTAATTCAGGGAAGAAAATTCATTTTTTAGCAAAGATAAAAAAAAAAATTATATTATATTTTATTTTTTTAAGTCAATAATTTAATTTATTTATTTGGAAATGTCTCACAAATAATTTTCTTATAACAAAATCTTTGATTTTGTCTCTTTATAAACTTTGTAAAGTTTTGCTTTTTTTTTTCTTCAATCAAACTTTTATTTAGTTTTGTCAGTTTCAAAGAAAATGATATACCATTTTGTACGTTATGTGAGATAGCACGTCAGTTGGAAAAGGGAACAAAACATTCTGTGGTGTAGAAACCTCTCCCTAATAGACGCGTTTTAAAATTGTGAAACTAACGACGATACATAACGAGTTAAAGTAGACAATATCTGTTAACGGTGCACTTAGGCTGTGTATCGTGACTGAATGTTCAAAATATCGAGTTAAAATGTGTTAGAAGGGCACATAGATGTGTTGGAAGATGAATGGATGAGAAGAAAAGAGGTGTGGAGTGGTGTGGCCTTCAATTGTACAAAAAGAGACCAAATTAACAACATATGAATGAATGCCACTGTTTGGCACACACCCATTTTAAAGGCCCTTTTCATTATCTCAAAAAGTGCTTTTTCATTATAAGTCACTTCAAAAGCGAAAGCGAATCGAAGCTTACGTACTCGATTGAACTGAACTTTGAATATAGATACCGACAAATAGCTCACGCCTTCGGCTGTTGCCATTTTGTACTTGTACGAATATAGTTAACGATTACAATTTATTGAACACGAAATTAAAAATTGAACGGGTAAGTTTAGGGATCGTGATGAAATAGTCATTATTGAAATGGGCCTAAGAGTAGCAGCCACATATGTCAGTCACATGAGGTTTTCCCTTTGAAGCAGATTTAAGGGCTGTTGAATGGGTGGCCTACCATGTGCCCTTTAATGGCAGCCCCATGAGGGACCCCATGATCCTTAAAACGTGGACAATAATAATAGTAGCAATAATAATAATAATAACAATAAAACAGAGCATTGTAAACAAAAACTGGAGCTCAGCTTAATAAAGAATGAAGAACATGATGAATTGCTTGAAAGAGGATCAAGAGTGACAGTAAATGGGAGTATGAGTTTCAACCAAGAGAGCTTGATCTTTCTATCACAAGAATGATTTTTTCTATCCCGTCGAGTATGACGAAGGAACGAACGACATATGAATGTGGAAAAAGATTGTCTGTTAACAGGGTCAATCTATGAACAAGCCACCTTTTTTTCGTTACGGGGAGGTTGATGCGTAGGTTGGCGAAAAAATTGGGTTAAAATGTGCTGCTACTTTCACAAATGGATATAGAGGAGGTTTCAGGCTATATTTCTGCGCCTTGGCTACCGATATCGAGACCCTGCAATCGGCTGATAGGATCCTGCTGAAACATTTCTGTTAAGGCGTGTGGCTGGTGGGATGCAACGAACATAGCTTGATGCGGGTTTGGTAAACTAGAATGGAATGGATGAACTTGGGGTCTTTGAGTCCTTTGCGGGTTGTGTCGTTCGGGTTGCGGTTGGGGCTGAAAGAAAGATTGGGGATGTGAAACTTGAAGCATTCCGAAGTTATATGAATCCGTAGCTGTCATTAGTTCCCCCGTCGCAATCTTAAGGCGCTCGACTTCCTTTTTCAATGCTTCGTTAAGAGCTGTATTTTAGAAAACGTCGTCATGTTATTTTTCGTTCAATGGTAAAGGAAAAGAAGGAGTATAATGCACAATAAAAGCTGGCCCAAGGCCAAGACTTTCTTCTGTTACCTAAGGTGAAGTATCATGATACCAAACTCATGACCAAATATAGGTATCATCAATAGCTCTTAAATTCAAACATCTACTCAAGAACAATAAGTTTTAGAAAAGGGAGCATCAAAGTAGGCGAATTTAAAGCAAATGAGAGCAAGTGGATATCATATTATTCATGGACATCTAAAAGCTAAACGAGGAGGGCTAGGTCGTTAATAATACGTAGACGGGGTATATGTGGATGCATACCGTCACGTAAATGCGCTTGCTGTTCCATAGTTTGTAAGCGAAGTTTGAGCTCTGTGTTTTCGGTTGAAAGCCCTGTGGTGTCTCTCTGATAGAAAGAACAAGAAATCAAGATGAAATGGTCAAAGGAAAAAAAGTACGAATCGTTTTCACCGACGCTCGAAGAGAAAAAAAAATGAAAAAAACATGTCACCGACGCACAAAGAGAACCGTTATCTCGACCACACTTCAGAAAGATTCCTCACATCGATGCACACAACCCCATTTGCCACAAAAACCTTCCTCTCCAAAAGGCCGATGAGGAGGAACTTCTCGATCATCTCCTTATAACATCTCTATTTGGCACACAGAAAACCAAACACCTAAAAGAAAAAATCTCCGACACCATTTATTGTGAAAATCCAAGTGTTTTTATAGAGCTTTAAAACGCGTATGTTAGGGAGAGGTTTCCACACCCATATAAGAAATGCTTCGTTCCGCTCTCCAATCAACGTGGGATCTCACATTTTCACTATAGACCTTAGAGGGCAACTCTAAACATCTCAAGCCCTCACCCCTAAACCCACGAAAAAAGTCTACAATTTTGAGAGAGGAATAATTACTAAGTGTATAATGACTAGAAAATCTAGTGGTTTTATCGAGGTCTCCGGTTGAAAAGATGGCCCTCGAGTTCGATTATCACTTTCTAACCAACTAGCCCAGATAACCACACCCACCAAATCACCCAAAGATCTTATCAGGGTAGCTAAAGAAATGTAGACTCAACATCGAACCGCTCGGGCCTAACTAAATAGCATCCTACAGAGCTGAAGAACCAATACTCACAGAAATAGCCCCATCAGCCACAAATCTTTAGAAATAATAACAAATCAAAACTCAATGTGAACTTGGCAAAAAATTAAAACCTGGTACAATGTGAGCTGCGCAGAAAGAGTTGTCGCTTCGGTTTGAAGGCTTTGAACTTTTCTCTCAAGCTCCATTATGTAGCGAGCTTTCCTCTCTTTTGACCGAGCAGCAGACTGTCTATTCGCCAAAATCCTGCAAGCGAAGTTCGGTTTTATTACCGCCCCTATCTTTGAAAAGACGATAAAACCAGCTGCAAATATCTTAACCAACTAGAAACAGGAAATGCTCATAAAGACAGCTGCATTAACAGTTAAACAAGCTTAGAATGTCCAACCAAACATCAGATATAAACGATATTATGAGCTCGTTTGGAATGACGTTCCAAGTGCTTAAGAACACTTTTTTAGGTCGTTAGAAAGTTATTCCAAACAAGCCCTACCGTTCTTCTCCGTTTCTTTGATTCATAAGGTAGTGACCCTACAATATTTGGTTGTCACAAACCTAGTCAGCTTTAATCTCACAAGAATCTCTCCTAAATCTCATATATAGCTAAATCCGCCCAACATGTAACTAATTATCACGAAATCGATCTCCATACATCGGTATTTAACATGGTATCAGATCCGAAGATCCCGAGTTTGAACGTTCCTCCCCAATTAATAGTGATTTTCACTTGTAGGCCAACCATTAGAATTTGAACTAGTTCCCATTTACTCAAACGAAATCAACATTCAGTAATTCGATCTTCCAGCTATGAACCAAAAGTCCAAGCGACAAGCAAGCAACATATGTAAGAATCAGATTACACAGACACATTGCCATTACAGAGCCTAAAACCAAAAGGGGACATTAGAATAGAATGGTACAGTACCTCTTAGCTCGCTTAGGATCAATAGTCCACAACTCTGCAAGTTTATCGGGATCCATGGCCTTCTTAGCCTCAATAGACTCCATAATGGAAGACCCATCAGCGGAATTGCTATGACGGTGTCTCGGGCGGGAGATTTTCTCCCCATCGACATTCTCCGCCGTAGCACCGCCGCCGTCTGCCACTTCAGATTTCGACGACGACCCATTGTCGATTTTGGATCCGATCTTCTCAATGTCCATAAAGGTGCACAATAGATCATCCTCGAAGCCCAGATCTCCAAATCCAGAAGAGGGGCCATCGAAAGGGTCCGAGACGAGATCGAGATCACTCGGAATCCGGAAATGGACCTCGGAATGGGCTCGGCGGTGTAATGAACCGCGAAAAGGGGCGGTGGGATTGGAAGAGGAAGCCATTTGGTTGGAAGGGTCAGGGATTTCCATGGAATTGAAGGTTTTGAGCTTCCTCTTACAGAGAGAGGGTGTTGATGGTGTTGTTTGGGAAATCAAAGTGGGTCATGTCCCTCCATACTCGTGCTTTGTTTTTGGGCGCACAGAGAACTTTTTTGGGTTTGTTAGAATTTTTTATTTATATGGAACAGACACAAGAACGCGGCGCAGATGGAAATTGGAATTGGAATATGTTCTTTATTACCAAAATCATATGCAAATGTCTCTCTCTCTTACAGTTGAACTCAAAATAAATGATAAAAAAGTAAAAGATTGTTCTTTTAGCATTTCCTTTCTTTTTCAAAAAAACCATTTTATCTTAAATATCATATTTGGAATTAATAACTTTTATAATGGTATAATATTATCCACTTGATTATAAATTCTAGTGTATTTGGTTTTAATTTTTTTTAAAAGCTTCATAACGACTCATATTTTTTTCTTTAATTAGTCAATATGGGATCATTTCTCTCCATAATCATTAATAAATTAATATGATGTGCTTTCATTATTATGATTTTGTTAATTACGTTATTCGTTCCATGTTTAAATATTGGCTTGATTTGTGAAATTATGAACTTTTGTTGTTTAACCTTGTGCTGCCATGGCGGCCCTTCCATGGTGCATATATATATATATATGGTGTGTATATATATATTGTAAGAAACAAATTCCATTTAAGACACGTTAATAATTGGAGCCCTCCATTTTGGCGACGGTTCACTATTTTCAAAATCCATCCCGCTCTCTTCCCATCACTCTAATTCAAATCGCCATTACTTTCTTTTTGTCCTCATCTTAAAAGAAATTTGCAAATTTCAAATTCTGTAGATTTGCAGCTTAAAAAAACCCTAACCCACGACGTCTTTAATCGGTTCGTCAACTCTAATCCTCTTCCATTTTCATGCTTTTTTACACTACTTTGGGATTGCGCGCCAAAGATTTGAACTCGCCTGAAAAATTCGCTCCTATTTCTTCGTTATTCGAACAACCGATGACATTTCTTTGATTTTTTGACGCGGTTGTCTGTGATTTTAACTGGGTTTTAAGCCAATGGATGATCGGTGCGATTCCAGACCCGTTTCTGACCCGTTTCCGTCATCACCCAGATCGAAAACTAAGGTGAGTTCTTTGGTTTTACAGTTTTCTTTATTTTATACTTGTTTGAATCGGTTTCCCCCTTGACTTAGACTTTGGGCGAGAAGAGGAGTAGCCGTAATTTTGAAGAACAGTGTGAGGCTGATCTTAACAGGATAAAATTGCGAGATTCTGGATCAATGTGTGGTTCTCCAGGTAGGAATTCTGAATCTTGATCTTGGGTTTCTCTTGAAATCAATGAATGGAGCTTAATTCTTAGAATTTTGGTATGAAATTGCTGGTTCTGTAATTTACTTTCTGGGTGTTCATTTTCAATGGCTTTTCATAGCCTTTTGGATTGTTCTCTTCTGTTCATATCAAGATTGTTCATCTTATTCTCAAACTGGTCTGGCAGCATTAAATGTTCATCAGGGGAATTGTTTGAAAATGAAAGAAGCTAGTGATGAATGTCAGATGTTTGAAGAACAGAGGCCTCGAGCGATTGGTGTGCCTATGAGATTGGCTGTTAAGGCCTCTCCTGCCGAAATGGCTGAGGAGATTAATACTGAAGTTTGTGTTCCTAAAAGTTCAGGTTCTGATAATATGGATTTGGCTAACATTTCTGAAAAACAACACGAGCTTAGGAATGATAATGACACTCATTTAGCTCCAAGAGGGATTGATTTAGACCTCAATGTAGAAGATGTTTCTAGCTCTGTAAACCTCGAGATTGCTCGCCCTTTGAAGAAACGTAATGTGTTGAAGTCACAGCGTTCTTCTGAATGTGCTAGCTCTACGGGTCGATTGGGAGAGAAAGATCCATTAAGAATTTGGAAGGAGATGAAGCAAAATGGATTTCTTTCGGCTTCTCATGGAGGCATACCGGCACCGAAGCAACGTGGGAGGAGAAGTAAAAACGATGGTGTTCATAAAAAGATGGAGATTGGTAAAAGAGAGAAAAAGTTGGAGCTTGCAAAGAAGGAGCAGATCGATCGGTTTACAAAGATTGCTGCTCCAAGTGGTTTGCTTACTGAACTGAATCCCGGGATCATAAACCATGTAAGAAATCGAAAACAGGTCCATTCGATTATCGAGGCAATTGTACGGTCTGAGAAACAAGAAAACGAACTAAACGAACGCCTAGCAAATAAGCTTCTAGCAGAAAAGAAACATGCTGCTAAAGCAGGAACCAAAAGGGATCTTGAAAATACCATTGATCCTGAGAGGAATGTGTTTTGTTCTTCTCAAAAGTATGGCCCTCCACACAATGTTCCTGCTAGCAGGCAAAAAAGTGGATGCTCCTTGACAAGATCTGTTATAACGGACGCCGAAGGTGTGGACTATAGACAAATCATGTTGGATCGAGCCTCCGAATCGAGCACTATGAACAACAAAGAAACTCTTGCCCCCGAGCTGTCATCGTCACATGCTGTGTCTGAGAATGCTTGTCCAGTGTCTAATGATGAAGAAGAAGAAGAAAACCTGACCTGTATTTCATCTCTCTCTCTTAAAGGTCAGTATCTCCTCTAGTATTCCTTGTTACTCTCTAACCGTTTCGAAATATTGCTTATTACTCTATGTCGTTACACGTGCACGATTGTTATTCAGCTGCTACCGTTGCTTCTCAATGGTTGGAACTGATACACCAAGACATTAAAGGACGTCTCTCAGGTAAGCTTCATGTTCTTTTGTAGTCTGCATTTGGCTGTTACGAATAAATCCGACATGTCTTTATGTAGCTCTACGACGTAGTAAAAAAAGGGTTCGAGCTGTAATTTCTACAGAGTTGTCGTTTCTAATAGCTAAAGAATTTCCGTGTAATGAAGAGAACGATCCTTATGTTGCGAAGAGTTCACTCGACAAAACTTCAGTTATGTCCACTGCTGATCTCCATCAAGCAAGATGGGCTAAACTGTTTAATGAGATGGATAAAGCTCTTGCTGAAGAAGAGAAACAACTAGTAAGTGTACTACTCGACATTGTTCTATTCGGTTACTTTCGTTCATACGAATTTTCCTCGGCAACGAATCCGATCAATGCGTTTTGGACTCAGGAAAGTTGGATGAACCAAGTAAAAGAAATGCAGATGCACTCTGATCAGGGGCTGAACCATGTTCAGTTGAGGGGGGCAGCTTTCGGCTCGCAGCAATCGGGAGAAACACAAAATGACTCGAGGTTAGGCTCCAACTTTATTCCTTGTGCTTTCAAAAGTTTAGATATCTCTATCATTAACGAGAAATTTCATAAACTCAGTCAAACAAAAGTTTTTCAAAAGTGTCAGATAGTGAGAAATTTTCACACCCTTATAAAAAATGTTTCGTTCTCCTCCTCCAACCGATGTGGGATCTAACAATCCACACCCTTTGGGGCTTAGCATCTTTGCTAGCACTCGTTCCCTTCTCCAATTAATGTAGGACCCCCCAATCCACCTTCCTTCAATGTCCAACGTCCTTTCTAACACACTGCCTCATGTCCACCCCTCTTTCGGGGCTTAGCCTCCTCGCTGGCACATCGCCTGGTGTCTGGCTCTGATACCATTTGTAATAGCTCAAGCTCACCACTAGCAAATATTGTCCTCGTTAGACTTTCCCTTTCAGGCTTCCTCTCAAGGTTTTTAAAACGTGTATGTTAGGAAGAGGTTTCCACCCTCCTATAAACAATGTTTCATTCTCCTCCTCAACTGATGTGGAACCTCACACATAGAGTACAAAGACGGACGACAGTGATGTTATAAGCTTAACTCTTGACGGAGTTATGCAGTTTTCTCGTGAGAATAGTTGAGATGCGTGCAAGTGGGCTCGAGCACTCACGGAAATGTTACCTTGTTTTTGCAGAACAAGGGAAGAGAGAGCATTAGCTGTGGGGGCCGCTGCAGCTTCCATATATTCAACCTGCAACTTTCTGTTCTCAGAGAATGTGTCCTGTTTCTGAAAAGGAAAGGAAAAAAGTGTAGTCTATCAAATCTTTTTTACTTCGCTATTTGCTAACATTTTCTTTTCCTGTTTTTTTGGGGACTTCTTGTTTGCATTATGAGCTTATTTATTTTGTAATAAGTTAATTTTAAATAAATTATTGTTAATGCAATTGGAATCGGAACTAATAAAACTGATTATAAATAATTTAAAAGTATCCTTAGACAGTCTTAAGATAATCTATAAGATGTTGATAAACAGTTTTAATTCATATTATTGACGGTAAGAATGTTTTTTTAACATTTTTTTATAAAGATAAATAAAAAATATTAATGCTACTTTTACAAGGTTGAATAATATGATAAGGCAAGATCAACTCGGGATTCACAACGGAATGAAATGAACATTGAAAAAGCATCCAAACCTCCAAACCACATCAAAATTTAGGTGACATCTTATCTTTACTTGAGAACACAAGATGCTGATCCTATCTCAAAACTCATCCTCTACCTCTCTACCTCTCCTCAAACCCAGCAACTATATTTACATAATATCACTCTTCTTCTATGTGTGTTCTAAATACAACATAATCAGCCGCTTCTAATGTGTCTCGAACTCAAGTTTCTATAATCTTTATATTTTGCAAGGCTAAAGCCAATTAGGTGCTATCTTACTTGTTGTCGTTTTTGATGCTGCATCATTCGGAACCTTCGCAAGCGAGCGGTATTGCAACTTTACACTCTCTGCACTGTCTAGTGTTTTCACCACGTACCTGCAACAAAGAGTAGATACATTCATGTCTTCCTCCTTAAACTTTTCGACTTTTTAAGTCCTTACTTTTCGCTCTTCAACTTTCAGATGTTAGGTTTTATTATATCAAAGTTCTTGAACAAGAAGATAAACTATGATCAGATTTAAACCCACAAAAGACTGAAACGATGACTAACCATCCATTCAAACACTGTGTTGTAACAACAGCTTCACGTCCCACGAAACGCAGCGGTGTCCTCTTGTTCCCCTGATCCATTTTTAGTTGCGATATTAGCTTAGACGTGCTATAATATAGGAACTAAATAAGAGTCTGGTTTGTTGCGCACCTTGATAATTACCCGATCTGTCACTGCAAAAGGAAACTGAACGCCTCGACCCCTTCGAGTACCCATGGTCGAATCACTATAGCCACCCTTGTCCTACATAGAACTTGCCACAAGTGAACTGAATATAGTGGTTAAGTGATAGAAAAGACTAGAATTGTGAGATCCCACATCAGTTAAGAGGAGAATGAAGCACCCTTTATAAGGGTGTGGAAACTTCTCCTTAGAAGACGCGTTTGAAAAACCTTGAGGGGAAGCCCGAAAGGGAAAGCCCAAAGAAGACAATATGTGCTAGCAGTGGGCTTAGGCCATTACACTATTCCCGGCCTTCCCCTTTGATTTTAGTATCTCATATTAGCAGGCTTAAGAAACTACAGTCCTGAGGTACAATGGAAATACCTGCTCAAACCTCTCCCTTCTCCTTTTCGGTGAGCGGTAAAATAACAATTCTTCTTCCCGACGAAATGCTCGGACTGCAGCTTGAAGAGCTGAAGGTACAAATATCACGATATGAAAAAGACACACTTAACGTTCACATAATTTTGTAAATAATCTTTAAAGACTATATCGATCTATACATTACTTTGTCGTTCTGGGGGATACAAAACCTTCTCCTATATTTTTTTTTTAATCCAAAATCTACTTTGGGATCTAACAATGTGAGATTAGAACAATGGAAATTCTTGCAACCTACAGTCCTGAATTCTAGGAGCACTTGCAACAAAACACGAGCAATTAAACCTCGGAAATCATCGGATATTTTTGGGAATAGCAGTAAAGAGATGTTAAAAGTTATAAGTGCAGAAAAACTCACATAAGTTTTGGGCAATTAAGTCTTCAGAAACCAACTGAGAACACGTGTAACAAGATTTCTGGGAAGACATCACGAGAAATGCAAAAACGCTATGAAACCGAGGTCATCAAGGTACTTAAGTGATTCATATCAACAGAGCAGCCAAATAGCAATGCATATCGAGGTGCATAAGTCAGGTAAGACAGGATTGCAACAGAGAGAACATTCATAAATCGTAATTTTCAAAAACTTGTTTTTGTTTATGGAATTTGGCTAGGAATTCAAGTGTTCATATAAGAAAGATTCTACGAGGAAAAAAAACAAGTACAATATTCAAAACCAAAAACCAAAAATCAAACGGGACTAGAGAGTTCGAGCGTTGCTGCTGCATACAAGGTAGTAGACTCAGCTTTATAACACAGAGCACATATTTGAAATAGTTTTTGCATAGAAGAACCTCGACCACAGCATCGACATATTTCAAAGACTATACTAGACTGAAATTCTGGAAATAAATCAGCATGGATCGAAACAAAGGATGAGTAAAACTTCAAATCCAAAGCCAACTTTACAATGTTTTGACGTTAATATGCTCGCAATCGATACAAAACGTAAGTATACTGGACGCCAAACAGTTTCAACGTGCCTCCTACATTTGAATATGTTGAAAAGAATGGTAGATAACATAATGAAAGGAATTTCAGTAAATATGAGCAGTAATCTTGCCAGTAACTCACTAGTCTAAGAACATGTTCTATTCCACCACTGCCGAAGGAATGCCCACACGATAATATCATTGCATCATCCATTAGAGAGCCCCTGATTCCATGAAGAACAATAAACCAAAGTAAATATATTACCAGAAACAATAGAGATGAGAAAAAAAAGTTAGAAACTACACATTTTGATGCAAGAACAAGTAAGAACAAGTAATGAAACATAATGGAAACACTAAGAACTCACGTCACAGGGTCTGTGAGAATTGCTCTGAGAGACTCTCCAGGCTCACCCAAAAGAAAAACATCCCTTCTCCCAAACCCACATCCATTTTCCATAGCCAAATCCTTGTGTCCAGAAGCAGACCCCTCAGTGCCTTGCAAATATTGGGAATAATACGTTTCACTGTCATGTTCTGCAATTGTAACCGCATTTGGGTAATTCCCCAACCTTCCCTGCTGGTGATTCTCACTCTGAGCTTCTCCTGTGTTACTCCCAGAAGGGGCAGCCATCCCATCCTTAACCAACAAAGTTCCACCTAAAACCCATGAGAAAAATCAACAAAACTTCCCAAATTGGAGCATTCTAGAATCATTTTCTATTCGGGAAATGAAAGTTGAAAGTACAAATCCCTTACCAAAAGAAGAATGTTGCTTAGGCTTCCCATTGCCCAATTTGTTCGTCCCATTCTTCAAGCCCCCACCACTCTGATCGCTTCTCTCATTGTTGCTGCTATTGGGGTTACCAGTTTTTCTGGACTTATTAACATCATCCAAAGAAACAAGTCCTTCAACATCGCCATCGTCATCATCGACTTCATCTTCGTCGTCGTCGTCATCATCCTCATCTTCTTCATCCGATCCTTTCCCACTTCCAGTCCTCCCACTCCCATTCCCATTCCAATTCCGGCCATCACAAAACAAACTCTGGCGAAAATCGCCACCCTGATGGGCGAAGAATCGATCTCGTTCTGTAGGGAAGAGCTTGTCGTCCATGAAACCGCAGAGCTCGCGGGTTTTGGGAGATGGGTCGGTGACGCGGCGCTGCGACGTGGTGGAGGAATTGAAGGGGATGGCTTCGTGTTGGAAGAGGAGGTGGGAGTTGAGGGCATTGATGTGTTGGGAGGACATGTTTGAGGAGGTGGGGTTGGATTGGGATTGGAAATTGGATGTTATGACGAAGGGGGCATGGTGGGTTTTGAGAGAGTGGAATTTGGGACAAAGGGAAGCTGGGAATTGGAGAATTTCTCAGAGAGAAGGTTAAGGGTCAGGTTCTGAAAGAGTGATGGGTTCTGGGTTCGTCAGAATATGGCTGTGTTCCTTCCAACAAAGGAAACAAATTTGGAAATTGGAACGAATTGCCGCACCGCCCTTCTCCATCTTTTCTCTCTCATTTCTTTTATTTTTCCTTCAAATTATATCAATTTTCTCTTATTTATTTATTTATTTATTAAAATTAAGTTTATAAACACTTTTTTTTTCTTTTTTAAGTTTTACAAATATTTTTAAAATTCAAGTCGATTTTGAAAACTAAAAAATAGTTTTTTAATTAAAAAAATTTAAATATTTCTTAAAAAAAAAAAAAATGGATGAGAAAAACAGTACCATTTTTTATCATAAAAAATAAAGCAGCATTATCCGTCGGCATTTAAATAATAGTCTTCCGAATTCTAAATATTCTCTCATACAAGAGATAACCAAATAGCTCCAAGTTGTCATTATACTAATTTTGATTAAATTTTCTCTATTATTTACTTTATGATTAAAAAATTCTTTAAAAGGCACAATAATCGGGGGCTAAATTAGTAATTCAACCCCTCTATTATCAGAATTTTATATTCTCCCACACTCTTAATTAAAGAATTCCAAAGGGCCATGTGGTTGATAATTGAATTAATTGTAATCAAATGCCCACTGCTACCTAATATTTTACCTAATTAATTTAAACACCTTACAAATATGGATTTAATTTAAATTTTCAAAATATTTGATTTTTAATGAGTTTCTAAATGGTACCTAAGTAGAGTAGACCCACGGGTTGGTTCAAAAAAGTATTAGGTTTGGAAACTGGTGAATCAAATGGCTACTAAAGTTCGAATTTCAATGACTAAAAAGTCTATTTTAGCCTTAAAGAATTAATAAGGTGGAGGGAATTGAAAACAACAAGGAAGAAACAAATAAGTTTAGGGAGACAATTAAGACATAGGTATTTAAATATTGAAAACAATTAAAAAAAACTTAAATTATTATAAAATCTCACTCACCAGATTGGATCCATTCTTTTGTTTTGAAGTGGGTTTGAGAATATTGGCTCTGGAGCCCCTCTGACCTTCTCCATTGTACTTCTTTCCATTTTCCATTGAGATTCAAAACCCACAATTTTGACCAATGGAGATAAGTCAAAGCCTGTCTTTTCCCAACAGAAAGCTGCCAAGAACAGCAAAACCTGAAAAGAAAAGTTACCTCAGAGAAGAGGGAGTTTAAAAATGTCCTGAGAGAATCTGATGAGGTTGCCTCCTCAGCTTTTATCATAGAAAATGCAGAAGATCATAATCAGGCTGAGAGTAAATCAAAGCAATCCAAGTAAAAATGGCTGAATCCTGTGACTTCTCAAGGAAAATAAATTACAGTAAGAAGGAAAAAAGTACAGTATGCCAAAAACTACTGGATCCAAGCAAATCCCGGGTTAATCTACTCTTGTTTCCTTGGTTGAGTTTATCCCAACTCTTGTAATTCGGATGGGCATTTGATCATCTCCAGTATCTTGACCATTTCTCTCATTTCGGGTCGGTTTGATGGCACGTGGGAGGTGCAGATCAAGCCTAATTTCAATACAGGAACAGCCTCTTCGGCTGGGAAATTCCCCCTCAGCTTACTGTCGATGCATTCTTCGGCTCTTCCTTCGTCCACTGCTACTCTGACCATGTCACAGAGGACTTCTACGTCGTCTTCCATGTACTCGACAGGCCTCTTTCCTGTAACTATCTCCAGAATCAAGATACCAAAGGCGTACATGTCGCATTTTTCAGTTATCTTCACTGTCCTGCAAGCGAACTCTGGTGCCATGTAACCGAGCGCACTCTGGATCTTGCTGCTTAAAACATAACGGTCTAACATTGGGAGCAATCTTGCTAGACCATAATCTCCCACCTTAGGATGACCATGACAATCAATAAGAATATTGCTGGATTTTATGTTATAGTGGATGGTGTTTGATTGATGCAGGTGAGCCAGTCCTTTTGCTGTGCCCAGAATTATGTTGAACCTCTCATTCCATGGCAGTACATTGTCATCCGATGCTTCATGTAGAAGCCCATATAAGCTACCTCCAGAGACATATTCGTATATAAGGAGCTGTAGCAACGGAGTCCAATAATAGCCTTCGAGTGTCACCAGATTTTGGTGCCTGACATTCCCAAATTTCCTGACTTCCCTCTCGAAATCTTCTTGGGACTTGACGAGGCTAGAAACTGTGAGCTTCTTGATTGCAACAGAGCGTCCATCCCGCAGAACGGTATGGTAAACTGCTCCAAACCCACCGCACCCAAGCTCACAATCCTTGTTGAGCAGGGCATGTGCTCCTGCGCTAAAGTCGAGCTCTCCTGACAACACCACAAGCTTTCCCGAATTCGCATCAGGACTGGAGGAATGACTGAAATCATCCCCTATGGATAATGCAAGTGCAGCTGCAGACAAAGAAGACGTGGGCGATTGAACACGACTGTTGAGGATGGTGATCAATATGATGCCTATGATGATGAAAGCAGCGGCGCCAATGGCAACCAGTGCAGAAATGCTGAGGATATTTCTATTTCTTCTGAGATTAGTACTTGGAGGCAGTGAGCTGGAAATGGAATCTGAAGTGGAGTTGGGATCGAGCACAATAGGTTTTGGAAGAACAGAAGGGCAAGACTTATTAACGACAGAACCACAAAGGGATGGATTTCCAGCTACGGATGAAGGGGAGATGGTGTTAAAGAATACACCACCAGGCAGCTCACCCTTGAGGTCGTTATGAGAAATATTGAACAAAAGAAGGTTTGGAAGATTAGACAACTGCTTTGGAAGAGTCCCATTGAGGTTGTTAAAGGATAAGTCGACATTTCGGAGATAAGTGAGTGTAGCCAACTCCGCAGGTATCGGGCCAGTTAAGTTATTGTGCGATGTGAACCTGCAAAGTTTCACAAAGATAAATGTATCAAACGAAATCATATTCAAAGCTAAGCAACCTCCAGATTCTAACCAGCCTTTCAGAAACTAAGAACAAAATGAATGGAACTAACGAAAGTCATAAGATTAACTACAACCCAATCCAAGCAAAAGATAACAGTTTTGGTGCTTCTTGAACAAGTAGATATTTCCAGCAAATGCCGAAGTTTTAGGTGAAATGGTTTATGGATACTGCAATGCTGGAAAATGCATATGGAAATTTAAACAATCAAAAGTAGACAAGCAAACAGGATAGAAAACTCACAAAGTTGTAAGGGAAGAACAATGACCAATTGAAGAGGGAAGTTCACCCCCTAGAAAATTTTCATCCAGCTTCAGTTCCATTAGGGACACAGCTCCTCCAATGGCTTCGGGAATACTTTCATTCAGACGATTTCTGCTCAAATCAAGAACGCTCAAAGCTTTCAGATCTCCAATAGTTTCTGGAATAGGTCCAACAAAAGAATTCCCAGACAGGTTCAGAAACTGCAGCTTGGCTAAACTTCCAATCGCTGGAAGATTACCCATGATGAAATTATGACTGATATCTATTGCCAGAAGGTTTTGGCATTTCATCACACACTCTGGAAAGCTATCAGTAAAGCCATTTGAAGAGAGATTTAATACTTTTAGATATTGAAGATTCCCCATTGTATTTGGAATATGACCTGTGAAATTGTTCCCGGAAAAGTCCAGAGTTTCAAGGCTTTTCATTTCTCCTATCCACTCTGGAACATTTCCTTCGAACAAATTCCTGCTCAAACTCAGTTCACTACAAAGAACAAGTTTCTGCATAGTCTGAGGAAGGTTCCCAGAGAATGAATTCTCACTAAGATCAATGGACCTCAGAAGCAAGCAGCTGCCAATACCATCAGGAATCTGTGCAGAAAGTTGATTCTTCCTCAAGTTAAGAGTCCGCAGGTTATATAAATTCTCAATTACCTTCGGAATTTCACCCATCAGAGCATTATCAGACAAGTCCAATGATCGAAGCCCACTGAGAGACAAAATCCCAGAGGGCAAAGGACCCGAAAACTGATTCGAGGACAAGTTAACAGCAATAAGACTCCCACACGAGCTCAAACTATCAGGAATTTTCCCATCAAATTTGTTGATGGCCAAAGAAACAACTCTCAAAGACCCACATTGACGGAAAAAATCATCTGGAACAGTTCCAGACAAATTATTCCCGCTCAAATCAATCACCTGAAGATTATCCACTCGAGCAAAATTGGGGCTTAAATTTCCACTGAGATTGTTCTTTGATAACGACAATCTCTGCAGAAACTCCAACTGGGAAAGCCCTCGACCGAGCCGACCCGAGAGAGAGAATCCGTCGAGGTTGAGCTCGACAACCCGTTTGGATCTGGGACTGCATTGAACACCAGTCCAGTTGCAGGGACTATCGTCATCTTCGTCCCAGGTCGCGAGGTTCTGCTTTGGATCTTCAACAGCAGCTTTAAACACTATCAGGCCCAAAACGTCGTCGTTTAAAGATAGATTTAGACATCTCGCGCAGAGTGGAGCCAAAACGAACAACACAAAGAGCTCAAGCAGCCGTTTCATCTTCAACAATGCTCGCATAGTCCACTAACTTCGAACACAAAACCAGCACAAAAAAGCCATAGATGGAAGATACTGATACCAAACAAATAAACACCACAATTATAGAGACCTCGGAGAAATTACTCTGATAAAAAAAACTCAAAAATGGTGCAAACTGAGAATAAATTAACTAGAAACTAAGCTAGTTCACTATACACCACATAAATACAAACAAAATCTCAGAAGCCAGAAACGGAAAACGAAAAGGACTCTTCAAAACGTAGAGAAACGAAGAAAAACCAAATCCAAGGTGCAGCAAGAGCACATTAAAAGAAATATCGGTCGGAGTTTACGAAGATTGTCGAAGAGAAAAAGCAGAGAACCGTTAAAGAGAGTTGCAGAGCGAAGATTCTTCAGACTAAAAAGAATGCGGTAACGAACACTGAGAGAAGAAACTCGTACAGCTCCGAAACAGTGTCAGGAAGGGGATGAGGAACCCGGCGGTTAGTTGAGGGAAGTAGTCGGAACAGCCGTCATCGCCGCCGCCGGTGGATTTGTGAAGTTGACAGTAAAAACAGAGAGTTCTGTAATTGCTATAGAGAGAAGGGGGAATTTGGGGGGGTTTAATAAGTGGAAGA